ACCAGTGCCAGGGTTTTCATACGACGCCCGCCAATACCCCCACTTTGTGGGGGGGCCGGTTCAAGCTCTACCACATTTCCAAACGACTCTTCGCCACCACCCACACCCAGCTTCCCGCCCTATGACGTTCGGACACTTCACTTCGTGGCCTGCGGACGACCGTGGCTACTACACTGGCGCATGGGTACAGTGACTTGTTGTGGTAACATTTTCTGGACGCTAGCTTAGTATACGATTTTTCCCCCTGTTCCAACACTGGACACCTGTACTGGTTTTTGGTGGTAACGTGCCGGGTAGAATTCGGAAAATTCGTACGATGTGTTTCGAGGACCTACGGTGCGATTCGTATGATTTTATGTTGTGCGGTGCTAAAATTCCTAAGAAACCCAATGGTTTTTGAAGATTTCGGCGTGCGCGCGCGAAGAAAAAAACGAATGTGTCCCGCATGGTATTATTTGACAGGGATGATGGCCCTGGCAGGTGCGCAACCGTTGTTGGAGAAGTTCGAAGCACGTGAAAAAGTTGCTCGCAAAAGCCCGTTTGACAGAAATGATTAAAAAGTGTTGGGTTTCCTACAAATCCGCAAGAGCGCGCGGGATGAAATTTTGACACTTTTTTGTTCGAAAAAACATTGTTTTTTTTTGTTTTGATGTTTTTATGTTAAAATCGCTAGGACAACTAAGGTTTTGGAAGGATTTCGTTTTGCGCGCGCGAATGTCCACTTTACCTTATTTTTGCAAGGGATTCTTGAAGTTTGGTTATGTTAGAACAAGAAATGTCCACTTTAGCTTATTTTTTGCAAGGGAAAACCGATCGTAACAACACAACCGGATCCGGACCCCCGTTTTGCCTGAGACTTCCTCACGAAAATGATGAAAATGAGGCTGCGGCCTAGGCGCGGCGGGGGGGTCGTGCACCAGGGGTCCCAACAATAATTATTCTTTAGAAGTAATAATGTTCAACAACAACAACAACAACAACAACAATCACTTTACCCGAACGCTCAGTGTTCTCACCAGTGCCAGGGTTTTCATGCGACGCCAGCCAATACCCCCACTTTGTGGGGGGGCAGTGCAAGCTCTACCAAATATCCACACGACTCTTCGCCACCACCCACACCCAGCTTCCCGCCCTATGACGTTCGGACACTTCACTTCGTGGCCTGCGGACGACCGTGGCTACTACACTGGCGTGGAGTACACACCCACAGAAGTTGTTAAGCCTACGTTCGTACACCCACAGAAGTTGTTAAGCCTTGTTAACCCACAGAAGTTGTTAAGCCTTCCACAGAACATCTGTTGCATATGATGCATATGGTACATGATACACATGATACACATGATACGTACTCACAAGATAGTTGATCACATCTTTAGGGCAAATTCCTGAGGGATGTGGGAATACACAAGAGAGAGAGGATATGGTTGTCCCGATGGTTGTCTCGATGGTTGTCCCGATGGTTGTCCTGATGGTTGTGGTTGTCCCGATCGTTGTCCCGATGATTGTCCCGATGGTTGTCCTGATGGTTGTGCTTGTCCCGATCGTTGTCCCGATGACTGTCCCGATGATTGTCCCGATGGTTGTCCCGATGGTTGTTCCGATGGTTGTCCCGATGGTTGTCCCGATGGTTGTGAGCGAAAAAAACGAATGTGTCCCGCATGGTATTATTTGACAGGGATGATGGCCCTGGCAGGTGCGCAACCGTTGTCGCAGAAGTTCGAAAAAGTTGCTCGCAAAAGCCCGTTTGACAGAAATGTTTAAAAAGTGTTGGGTTTCCTACGAATCCGCAAGAGCGCGCGGGATGAGATTTTGACATTTTTTTGTTGAAAAACCATTGGTTTTTTGATGTTTTTATGTTAAAATCGCTGCGAACACTAAGGTTTTGGAAGGATTTCGTCTTGCGCGCGCGAATGTCCACTTTACCTTATTTTTTGCAAGGGATTCTTGAAATTTGATTATATTAGAACAAGAAATGTCATTTTCTATTGTTTTTTGCAAGGGAAAGCGGATTACAACAAAACAACCGGATCCTGTACACACCCTCTTTTCTGAGGCTTCCTCACGAAAGTGATGAAAATGTAGCTGCGGCCTAGGCGGCGCAGGGGGGGCGCGCACCAGGGGGCCCAACAATAATTATTCTTTAGAATAAATAATGTTCAACAACAACAGCAACAATAACAACAACAACAACACAAACGCGTCCCAGGGCCGCCAGGGGCTGTTCGGGGCCCTCGAACGGGTGCTCTGCCCAGCTGGGCCCAACGGAGAGGGGCTATTTCCTTCATGCTCTTCACCTATCTCGATCAAGTCCGTTGCTTGGTGCAGGGGCGGCTCACATGATGACGAGGTCCCCCGCTTCCTCGCTTGTTTGGGCCCCCTATCCCTCCTCCAGAACGAATGCAGACCAGGCTACCGGAACGGATCCAACTGTGGCGACGACGGCCTCTCTAGAGGTGCCCGAGAGGACGAAGCATGTCGGCCTCATGGTCCTTTTCCTCTCTTTTTTTCTCTCTTTCCCTCTCCTCCTCCTCCTCCTTCTCCTCCTCCTCCTCCTCCTCCTTTCTCCTCCCTCCTGCCTCCTCCTCATCCTCCTCCTCCTCCTCTTCCTCCCCCCGCGCACGAAGCCGACCCGCTGATCGCCGCTTCCGCCTGGCCTGGCGGCCGTCCGGTCCTTTTCCCCACAGGTGCGCTCGTGGGCCAGGAGAGCAGATCCCGCGGAGGCCCGCCGCACGCCGCCCGCCTCGCGCCCCGCCCCTCCTCCTCGCCGTCCTCCACCGCGGCCTCGTCTGTCCCCATGCTCCTCTCCAGTCTGAAGGGGCCCCGTCTCCAATGAAGGGGGCCAAAAATACTCCCCATATTTTTGCATATTTTCTGGGTTTCTGTCTTCCCCCCCACTGCCCATATTTTCCCATATTTTCTTGGGAATCGACGATTAATTGTGTCTGTGTGTTTCTTTCCCTCCTGACCCATGCTCCTCTCCAGTTCCCCCCCCCCGCCGCACCTGCAAGCGCCAGCCGCGGGCGTGGAGATAACAGGGGGTGTGCCACTGATGGCGCACGGGGAATCGAAGGGAGGAGAGCGGCGAGGAGAGGAGGGGGCTGCGGGCCGAGTGTTGGGAGGAGGGGGGGGACGAGGAGGAACTAAGGATAAGGGATGTGCAGGCAAGGGATGAAGCGGATGTTTATGTGTCAGGCGGATGTAGACGTGTCGCGCAATGAATAAGGTTGGCGCGAACGCTAGACCCCCTACAATGGCAACGGGAAAACATGACCTCCCCGCACCACGCAAAAACTGGAAACCTCCCGTCCGAGTCTGGTATTCAAACGAGTCCGTCGTGCCCCGGCGCCACTCTTGGTGCAAATGGCCGGAACCACCCCGAAACACGACATAACGGTCGCACTACATAGTTACAAACAAAGACAGACGCATAACAATTAGCGGCACTAGACGATTGGATGGAGCACGTCTCAATGTGCACGGCCACTCCGACAAGATCGTTGCCGGGCACGGCAGCACTCGCTTAATTAGCATGTTCAAGTGTCGCAACGTCGATCGCTTCACCAACATAGTTAGCGGATGCAGCAAGCCTCTCACTGGCATGGTCGCCGTCCACTTCGTTTCTGTCGGAGATGCTCGGGTAGACTGCCGCGGAACCACCGTGGGTAAATCCCGTGTATGTGCTTCCTCGTCAATGTGTTGGACATTTTCTGCAATGGATTGGTTGTCGTGCGATCGGCTTTCGGAACATCCAACAACATAGTCACGCTGCCATTGTACTAAGCACCGCCGACTGCACGATAGTCAAAAAGAGGATGTATCGGGATCTAGGTCTGCCAGGTCGCAGGTAGTACGCGGGTAACGCGGAAAGTCCGAGAGATCGAGGACTAACGGTCCCAAGTTCATTCTGCGGTTTCTCGGAAAGCTGACCACATTGTGGCCGGACCCTCCATTTTCGCGTCGTACTTATCTGCCTGAGTCTCCTCCGGCTCTGGCAACATATAATCACTACTAGCTCGGGGCGCTGTGTCAACACCAGAGATGTCAACATCGTATACATACTGTTTGACACATATTCGGCTACGCCCATGGGCGAATGCAATGAAGGCGCCGTGCCCGTTGCCTTGTTCTGTCAGGGCTCCCGCAACCCAGTCACAGGGAGCTCGGGACCCTCGCCAACACTGAACATTGTGAACGTTGTGAACGTTGTTCAAGCAGCTGCTATACCCACATGCGGTTGTCATGGTGGCGCTGGGTCCACGAGCTGCTCAGACGTAATCTGGGCAAGCTTGGGAAAGAGCGGCGAGAGAGGCGGAGCGGGGCCGCGGTCCTTGAAATCGATGTTCCGAAAAAAAAAAACGCACATGCGCGGCTCCCTCTTCGCACGGGATTGGTAGAGCAACGCGAAAGCGATCCAACTCTTGGGTGGCCTGGACAATTCGAAGGCGGTGAATGTGGGATGCCATCGTTGTCGACGCATGGCGGGAGAGAAAGCCACGCTGTCCGTGGCGGCAGTGGATCACGGAGCCGAAGCTCCGCTACAAACCAAGAGTAAGGGATCCGCAGTAGAAGGATGAAGCGGATGATTTGTGTCGAACGGATCAAGATGTGTCCCGCAGTGTATGAGGCGGGCGCGTACGGGGGCCCCCTAAAACGGCAGCGGGAAGACATGCCCCCCCACCACCCTGCAAAGCCCGGCGACCTCCCGTTCGAGTGAAGAAACAGCGAGGAAGATACGAGGAAAGCGCAGGAAGGAGGAGCAGTGAGACGACGACCGCCGACCGAGCAGACGATTGACCGACGACCAAGTCCGACGAGAATCCGCGGGAACCTCCGAGACCCTCCGGGAACCTCCGAAAACGCCGAGGACCGCTGGAACAGAGCAACAAGCTTCGAAGACCCGCGGATATCGCCAAAGACCTCCGAACATCTGTTCGAGCCCCGTCGACGGCGGCCAACAGCAGCGACGTGCGCGAGCGGCGCGGCCGCGGACGCGGCGGCTCCTCTGTGCCCCTGTCACAGCAAAGGGAGATGTCGAAGCCAGCGCCCCCAGCGCCTTGGATGCCCGTCCTCTTCTCTGCACGAACGAGATAGGCACGGAAAGAATGAATACGATGCCCAACAGCAGTTCCAGTTCATTTTGAACAGGGCTCGCTGTCCGCGCCGCCGCGGCCTGTGTCCATCTGAGACAGAAGGCCGCCTGCCGAACAGCGGCCGCTGTTGGTTTGGGGCAGCATTTGTTGTTGGGCATTGTGCCCATTCTTTCCGCACCCATTTCGGGCGTCCAAATCCGCCGACCCCTTGGGGATCATCGGCGTGTGAGATGCTTCCCACTCCCCAAACCCCTCCCCCGGGAGCCCGGTCCGGTCGATTTGGAGGGGGGGGGGGTCCGGGACGAGCGGTTCACGGGGCTTTTCCGGGCCCAAGAGGGCCTCAAGACGGGCCAAGAAGCCCCCAAGAGGCCTCCAAGACGGCCCACGAAGGCCCCGAGACGCCAAACGACCGCTCCAAGACGCCCAAGATGGCCCCAAGACGGGCCAAGAGGTCTCCAAGACGGCCCCCGAGGTCCCAAACAAGCCTCCCAAGAGGACCCCAAGAGTCTAAAATTGTTGATTTTCCATAGTGTTTTTCTATGTTTTTTGCTTTTCCGCCTTTTCGGCTTCCCGACGCTCCAAGACGGCCAAAGAGGCCCCCAAGAAAGCCCCAAGATGGCCCAAGAGGCCCCCAAGACGGCCTCCAGACGGCCCAAGACGGCCCCAACACGGCCCAAGAGGTCCCCAAGACGGCCCAAGAGGGCTCCAAGACGGCACCAAGAGGGGCCCAAGAGGGCGACCAAACATGTTGAAACTCTAGCTTTCTGCCCCCAGGAGCCCCAGGGGGCCCCAAGAGTGCCCCAAGAGGCCCCCAGAGGCCCTCACGAGGCCGCCCAGACGCCCCAAGGAATCCCCAAGAAGCACCCCAGAGGCTCCGAAACGGCCCCCAAGTGGCTCCAAAACTCGCTTTTCACCCCTTCGCAGCTTCTACTACCCCCAGATTGGCATAAACAAGGGGTCGGCGGTGTGGCGTAAGCCTAAGAATCTTCCTCGGTGCGAACCTCCGCTCCCGGCCGGCGTCGGCATCGTCCCCCCCTAGTGTTCATCCTCCCGCATTCGCCTCCGCCCTCGCCTCCCTCCTGCTCCTGCCCGTCGTCCTCTCCCAGCCCTCCTCCCTCCTCCTCCTCCTCCCTGACCGCCCTGCCACCGTTGCACCACCACCACCCCTTCCTCCTCCCCCCTTCATGCTCCTCGCCCTCTTCCCTCCTCCAGGTCCTCCTCCTCCTCCTGCTCCCCTCCTCCTCCTCCTCCTCTTCCTCCTCCTTCTCCTCCTCCTCCTCCTTCTCCTCCTCCTCCTCAATCTCCATTCTTTCCCATGGAAAACGAGCTCCTCCTTGTCACACAGTAGCGCGGACCAGGCGTTTCGCCGAAGACTTCCTCGCCATCTACAATCCCAGAGCTTATGGAGTCCGGTCGTTTTCCAAATGTGCCTCTCCCTCTAGCGTCATGTCGGGCCTGTCCTCCTTGACGAGAAATCAAAACTAATTAGTCAAACATCACCCCCAAATGGTCAGAAAACAACACTCAAAAAATCGTCCCCAGACTAATTTAAACTATTTTTGATGATTCCCCCTGTAGAGGGACAGGCCCGACTTAACTCTAGCGCCGCGCAAGTCCGTTTGAACAGTTTGCTGCGCCTTGAAGGAATCGAGGGCGGGCCGAGCTCAAAAGGGCGACAGCTTCTGGGATGCTGTGCGGCTCCTTGTCCAAACTGTGGTTCTCGCCGTGGCGCCGCGCACGCTCGTCAAAGTCTGCGACGGCTCTAAAGAGTCGCTGGGTCGGAAGCCCAGACGGGGCGTTCTGGCACGTTTCAAGACCGTCAGGGCGTAACCGTCGGAGGAGGTGGAGGAGGAGGAGCAGAAGAGGAGGAGGACGAGGAGGAAGTTGGAGGAGCACGGGGACAGGTACGGAGGTGGGGCAGCAGCAGCAGCGAAAGGGGAGGAGCAGGAAAAGGAGGAGGAGGAGGAACGGGAGGAAAAGCATGAGGAGGAGGAGGACGAGGAGGAGAACGACGAGGTGGAGGAGGAGAAACAGCAAGAGGGGGATGAAAGAGAAGAAGGATGAGAAGGGAGGGGGGCCAGGAAGGGAATATCGAGAGGGAGGAGGAACGCAGGGGGGATGATGATGATGCTGATGATGATGCTGATGATGATGCTGTTGCGGATGATGATGATGATGATGATGCTGATGATGATGATGATGATGATGTTGATGATGATGATGATGCTGATGCTGATGATGCTGATGATGCTGATGATGATGATGATGATGATGATGATGAGGCGGAGGAGGAGGAGGAGGTGGTAGGAGGAGAAGGAAGAGTGGAAAGAAGAGGACCAGTGCAAGCCAAAGGCTCATCAAACATGTTGCAATAAGCCCCCCGCAAAGTTCCCACTTCAACGGGCCTTGCAAGATGTTCAGTTCACTGCGGGGAATTAACCCATTGAAAGACAGCCGTTCGAGAATCAGAGTACGGCCAAACCCCAAGCCCTGGAAATTCAACGCCGCGAATCAGCGTTGCGTTTGCGCCTTGGCAGTCGTGTGTCTCACGAGATCACCATATCCCCCTCCTCGTGTTGAATGACTCCATGTGAATTTGATCATCTGCTCCCCCCCGAGGATGGCGGCGAGGAGTCGCCCTCCTTCCCGTCCGCGCATCATCGCCGCACGCAGGAGGTCAAGAGCTGGTCCCTCATCTGGTGTTTTCATCGGAGCGTCTTCGGTGTCTCAAGATGGCACTCCCGCTGCAGCGCTGGCGTCAGTTTAGGCTCGGCACGGTGCTTCCATCGCTCCCAATGGAACTCTCGCCCCAGCGCGAGCCATCCGTCTGGATCCAATGGTTTCCTCATGGTGTTCGCCCTGGTCCTTTCCTCGCCTCCGCCTTCCCCTGATCCTCCGAGTCCTCCAACGTATCCCATTCCTGCTCCTGCTGCTGCTGTTCCTCATCGTCCTCCTCCGTCATCATCCGCCTCCTCCTGCTCATCCTCATGCTTATCCGTCACCTCCTCCTCCTCCTCCTCCACCTTCCTCCACTGTACGCAGCTCCTCCTGTGTGATTGCGCATCACATAATGGGATCCACTTGGGGGTTCCAAGTCCGCTATAGCAACCGCTGGCGGACGTAGAGAAACAGCGATGGACAGAGATGGATAGGAAGTGTGGAATGTCATAAATGGCGAGAGCGTACCTCGCTTGTCCCCTCGTCCTTTCCCTCCTCCTCCTCCTCGCCATATTATTATCCTTTGTCTGTCCCGACCGTTAGCGAAATCACGCGTGCCTAGGTCGCGAAACATGTGCCATGAACACGTTGGGTTCCAAGCGGCCATGGGAGGCAACAGTCGAAGCAGGAATTGCGCCGACGCTCCTCAACAGAGGCATCATGTCCATGACGGCACAAAGTGAGAGCAAGAGGGCGGAGAAGCACAAGCAACAATCTCACACGACAGATGGAAGCGGGTTGCGTCGTCACGGTGCGCACTCACAGAGAAGACGGGCTGCCGGATCTATTGCAGCTGCCTCGGCTTGGATGGCCTACCTCGTACTGCGCCCATGTAGAGACGCTTCTGCGACTCGGTCCAGGAGGCTGCCAGTGCCGGTGCCGGAAGAGAGCCGGCCGATGCATATGCTTGGAAGGCTTGGCTTAAAGATCCTACTCCCACAGGGAGCGCTCAGGCGGGTGAGGTCGGGGGGTAGCTTGAGCGACATTACGGCGACAAAAGTAAAACTCTCAGCAAACCCCTGCCACGCAGAAACATGCTACTCATTCTACAGCGGTGAACGTTTGATGGCAGAGCCGGCCGGTGCATAACTATGCTTGGAAGTCTGGGCTTAAAGATCCAAGCTCTTGTGCAAAAACGGAAGTTCACAGCGCAGCGGCAGGCCCTTGTGTTAAATCACTGGGGTTCGGACCCCACGAGGACAGGACCCTGGGCCGGCGGAGCGGCGTCAGACATGACCCTGAAGGAGGGCGCTGGCTAGAAAATTACAAAGCCTGGAGGGGTAGGCAGCAGCCTTGCTCGTCATTGAACTACCTTCAAGGGTAAGGCGCTTCATGTTTAGCCTGAGCCTGCAAAATCGTGCTTCCCGCTGCAGCGGTATCTCCAGGACTCTGCCTTCAGAAGATCTAAGTCGGACACGTTCAGAAAAAAAGGAGGTCGGTTGCCTTACGATATCTGGTACCGAAGGCGCACTGATGGATAGTCACCCTCTCAAGGTTCGGCACAGCTCGATTCAGCGACGGGTCAGCCCACAGCCTAGAAGTCTGTGGGTTCTCGAGGGCACAAGGAATATTGTGCCTTCGGCAGGCCCGCAAAACAAGTATACAGGTATCTAGGCAAGCATTTCCCACCTTCACCTTATATGCATCGAGGGGGGACAGATTGGGCAGGCCTCGCACGGGCCGAGCGTCGCGCACAGGGCACCTGTTGCGCGCGACTGAGAAAGCGGCGCACGGCGGTGCCATCATCACAGCCACCACCCTGCCATCTGCAAGGCGCCTGAGAATCAAACGCGCATTCACACTGGTTGGCAAATCTTGGCCCGGAGCATTCCGCAAGTCCAAACTGACTACGGGGAGGCCCCAGCGAGCGGCGGCTCGGCAAAGCCCGCCGCCGCCGCCAAAAAGATCGAGAACGTGTCTCCGCGGAGCCGTCAAGAGCGCCTGACGCGCTTGGGGCCGGGCTCCGCTCCGCGCCTGAGGTACGGCGGCGTGGGCGCCGCGTCCCCGCGTAGGAAGATCCCTTCGATCATCTTGATGCAGAGCCAGACATGCTCCTGGCCCTCGGCATCTAGCTCCCGCCACGCCTCGTTGACGCGCCCAGCCTTCTCGCACCTCCTGACGCTTCGAAGGGCCTGCCGCCTCCCGCGCTTCATCACCTGCTCCTGGGTTCTGAGGTTCTCGGCGCGGTCGGAGCTGGCCCCCGCGCGACGCCCCTGGCATGGCACCGCTGCCCAGTTCAGGATGG